CGGTTTCCTCCATTGCATAGCTTCTATCTCTCCCCCCCCCCCCATCCACCTTTCTGCGTCCAGAAAGACGACCACGAGAAAAGCACTACAAAGCTCTGCCATGGAAAAACGCATCGGACTCCAGAACCTCGACAATGACATTCTGCGTGCGCGCGACAGACGGCTGGTAGTTGCCGAGACAAAAGGGCACGACTTTGACCGCGACCGGTATGAATTGGCGCGAGTGGGAAAGGAGCAGGTGCTAAAGGTAAGTTTTGGGCGGACTTACAGTTCTGCGTTTGTCCACACGTGGAGAGGAGAGGGGACTTTTTTTTTGAGCCCCGCGTAGAGGACAAACATGTCAATGTGGTTCAGGGTTTCTGATATGCGTGACAGCGTCGCTTTGGCTTGGTGTCCATGACCGGGCTGTCGTGCGGGTTGATGTGTACGTGGGAAACGCTACTCGTGTTAGTAACAATGACCCATTTCCTCCTGTCTTTTTTTTACTTACTTATGCGAAGAAAGAAAGGCTTATTATACCTACTGACGTGCCAGAACAGTGTTTTCTCCATCGGCTTCACAAAGTAAGCGACGACGTATTTTCTCCTTCGCCCCGCCCCATGGTACATTGATATGCGGATGAGAGTGTGGTTAATAATAAGTCGTGCAGCGGCGGCCCCGCAGGCCTCATCTACGGCTTCATACTGATCTGGCTCGGCAATTTCTCCGTCTTCATTTGTATCGGGGAGCTCGCGAGTGCGGTGCCCACGGCAGGCGGCCAGTACCACTGGGTATCGCTGCTTGCACCGCGGTCGAGCAAGAAGTTCTTTAGCTATGTCACAGGTATGCTTCATGCTCTTGTATCCAAAAATTCGCCCCCTTTCTAACGTTCACAGGCTGGCTCACCGTCATCGGCTGGATCGCCGCTCTCACATCAGTGTGCTATTTCGTCGCAGACCTCATCCTGCAGCTCGTCAGCCTCAACGACGCAAACGCATCGTATACGCGCGAAGGCTGGCACGGCACCATGCTGCTGTGGGCGCTGCTCGTCCTCTGCGTCGTCATCAACGTCTTTATAAGCGGTGCGCTGCCCACCATCGAAGTCGTCGTGCTCATCGTCCACATGCTGGGTTTCTTCGGCATCCTCGTGCCCATGGTGTACCTGACGCCTACGCACAACTCAGCGCGCGACATCTTCCGCACGTTCCACAATAAAGGCCGCTGGAGCACGCAGGCGCTGGCGTTCTTCGTCGGACTCCAGGGTAACGCGTTGGCCTTTGTAGGCACTGATTCCGTGGTGCATGTATATACTCCCACTCCGCTCCCAGCTATTTACTCGCGCTCTTGCATAGCTAACGAGCTGTAGATGTCCGAGGAAGTCAAAAACGCAAGCACCGATGTCCCTCGCTCCATGCTGCTCAGCCTCGTTATAAACGGCACGCTGGCCCTCGGCATGCTCTTCGCCGTGCTCTTCAGCGCCCAGGATATCTCGCAGTTGCTGTCTGATGAAAGCGCTCAAACAGCTCCTTTTCTGCGCATATTCCACCAAGCGGTTGGCTCGAAAGCGGGTGCCACCGTCATGGTTGCCATCATCGTGTTGCTCGAGTTCTGCAGCGCAATGGGCTGTCTTGCTGCTGCCTCGCGCATGACATGGTCGTTTGCACGCGATCGGGGTCTTCCTTTTTCGCGGGCCCTCAGCATGGTATGTTCTTTATCACTCGAGTCCAAACCTAAAAAGCACAAGGATAGCTCACAAACCCCCGCAGATCGACAAACGCAGCACCATCCCCGTCATGTCCATCCTAGCCGTAACCCTCTTCGCGGCACTCCTGGCTCTCATCAACATCGGCAGCAGCGCCGCCTTCAACGGCACGCTCTCGCTCGTCCTCGAAGGCTTCTACCTATCCTACCTGCTCGCCATCGGCCTCCTATTCTGGCGCCGTATCCGCGGCGACCTCGATGCATCCTCCTCCTCCTCATCATCCTCATCATCCCCCTTTCCCAGCCTCCACCACGAACATTTCCACCGTCACGCCGACGCCGAGACAAGGATATCCTGGGGACCCTGGCGCCTCAATGCTGCTCTGGGCGTTGCTAACAATGCAATTGCCATTTGCTATCTGCTCGTCATCATCTTCTTTAGCTTCTGGCCCATCCAGACGAATCCAGGGGTTGCGGGGATGAACTGGGCGGGCGTAGTCACGGGCGCCGTGGCGCTGTTCAGTGTGTTGTATTACTGGGTGTTTGCAAAGAGGACGTATACGGGGCCTGTGGTTGAGGTGGAGCCGCTGGGG